ATATGATACATAAATATACACGTAAATAAAAAATACTATCAATACTGAAAGTAATCCACCTATTTCATGCCGGAGTTCCCGCCGCTATAAAAGGAGTGGTTACAAACATTTGTTAGGTTAATTCTTTAGCCTAAGTGTCTTAAAAGGCAAAAATATAAAACTGCTCGATACGAGAGAACACTTGGACCACGCCAATAGTGGACGATATAAAAACAATTCGCTAACTTGAAGGTCAATCTAACATCTCAGTGTTGTTGTTGTTGTTGTTCTTTCGGCTCAAACCCAAACCTTAGAATTTGCTGTTGGTTGTATCTTAATTTCTTGTTGCCTAATAATATTATGGAAATTTGAGCAACTTGACATTCCGGGCGTGGCTAAACGATACAGTTGTCCTTGGAGGATAAAGATTTACGGGGGGAGAGAAGGAAAAATGTTTGTTTTGAATATTCGCCTCAACCTTGGCAAGAATTATCTGTACATGACAAACCGTCCATAATTTTGAACTGTTGGAGTAGTAAGTACTCTTGGCTGACCGAATAGTTGAATTTGACCGTCATGCACTCTAAAGAATTATAGGATCATCCGGGATTGGTCAAGTCTGATATCACGTGATACATTTTTAATATTTAGCCGGGAAGGGTTGTGATGAACCAGACAAACATGCCCCCCTTTTTTTACGTCAGGATGCAGTAAGCCAAGAGGTGCAAGTGGCTCCCCTGTCTGTCAGATCGATAACTCCCATTTCTTATAGCAAAACAAATTCATTCTTGAAGTTCAGCAATTTGTATAGTGTGAATATGTATAGTGTGAATATGTATAGTGTGTATATATAGTGTGAATATATATAGTGTATGTGTATATAGTGTGTGTATATATAGTGTGAATATGTATAGTGTGTATATATAGTGTATGTGTATATAGTGTGAGTATATATAGTGTATGTGTATATAGTGTGTGTATATATAGTGTGAATATGTATAGTGTGAGTATATATAGTGTGAACATATAGTGTGAGTATGTATAGTGTGAATATATATAGTGTGTGTATATATAGTAGTAATTTTTTTATTTGAAAAAGTTTTGGTATGTATACTCGCACTATATATATTCACACTATACATACTCACACTATATGTTCACACTATATATAGTCACACTATGCATACACACACACTATATATACTCACACTATATATATTCACACTATATATACTCACACTATATATATTCACACTATACATACTCACACTATATGTTCACACTATATATACTCACACTATACATACTCACACTATATGTTCACACTATATATACTCACACTATATATATTCACACACTATATATATTCACACTATACATACTCACACTATACATACTCACACTATATGTTCACACTATATATACACACACTATATATATTCACAAATCACGTTCTGTATGATTTCACTCTTTTTCTTATTATAAAATAACTTAAAAACTCCGTAATTTACACAGTTGTCCCCAGCGGTAAAATGGTGGATGGGATAGGTGTGGTACATCGAGAGCAATTAGTATGTAACAGTTGTGATTTTCCATTTATGCAAACATAAGTAGTTCAGGGACAGCGCTGGGATCCACTTTCCTTTTAAGTACCAAGCGGTGACTATATTTCACCTGAAGGAAAATTAAGACGGCAATAACAGCCAACTTCTTCATCTGGTCTCTTGTGTAAATTTAGTTATAAGGAACTTACATTCGTGTATACGTGACTACAGAACTTGAGAGATGACCTACATAGTGTTAGAGAGAACGTGAGTTGTCGCACCTTCGTCTTATTAGAACGAAGTTATGGTCTGTTGCATTTTTGTACAGGGTAGGGTGGAAACAGGGTAGGGTGAAATAACAATTAGGTGCCTCAGAGCGATACAGTATTTTTTGTTTTGTTGAATTTTGCGCAAGACTACTCGAGGGCTATGTGCGCTAGTCGTTTTTGATTTTGAAACTAGAGGGAAGGCAGGTAGTCAACATCACCCACCGCCAACTCTTGGGCTACTCTTCTACCAACAAATAGTGGAATTGAATGCCCCAACTGCTGAAATGGCGAGTATGTTCTGTGACAGAATTCGAACCCGCGATCTGCAGTTTGGCGAGTTGAATGCCCCAACTGCTGAAATGGCGAGTATGTTCAGAATTCGAACCCGCGATCTGCAGTTTGGCGAGTTGAATGCCCAAACCACCAGGCTATGTTAGGCCTTTTATTCTATACCTGTGTTCTACAAACGAAACGTTATTCGCAAAGGAAAGATGTAAGTATATAGGGGAGGGGTCCTAATTTTTAGAATATGCTGAAAATAGAGGTCACTAAAATCACGAATAATAATTAAAAAAAAAAATAAGGTGCTGGAGGAGAATAACGGTTCTGGATCGCCTGTAATTGTTGGTCACTGTTCAATCTTACTTGATTTGAAAATGACGATAAAACCATTTTTGAGTTTTCTTAAAGATTAAAGCATGTGATAAAAGTACCACCTAATTTGGAAATATTTATAATTGACGTATCAATTATCAAACTTATCATTATTTGTGTTACTTTTCTCAGATACAAACTGAGTTCAAACCAAAACTTTTAAACCTATTCTATCGTTTAACCCGATATTACCCACATGTTTTTATGTCTTTCAATGTTGGCGAGTTTCACGTGTCGTGTGCTGTTGAGGAAACGTACGTTATGACACTCTCCGTGAAGAACTGACCAAAAAAAGGCCCGGCATGGCCAGGTGGATAAGGCACTCGACTCGCAATCTGAGGGTCGCGGGTTCGAATCCCTGTCACACCAAACATGCTCGCCTTTTCAGCCGTGGGGGCGTTATAATGTGATGGTCTATCCCACTATTCGTTGGTAAAAGAGTAGCCCAAGAGTTGGCGGTGGGTGGTGATGACTAGCTGCCTTCACTCTAGTCTTACACTGCTAAATTAGGGACGGCTAGCGCAGATAACCCTCGTGTAGCTTTGCGCGAAATTCAAAAACAAAAAACTGACCAAAAAATTGGGCGAAATCACTCATTTTCTAAGTGTATTAAAGAAGGGTTCTCCATATTAACTTGTGCGATTAATTAATTAATCACAATTTCGATCGTATTTCTTATTACGTTTGTGTGTGTGTGTGTTATTAGGGATCCTGTAATTCAACAAAGTCAAGAACTCAAAGGCAACTTGATGCACGAGTAGTTTAGAAAAACCTGTTTAAAAAGCCGATAACCCGAAGAGGTGGAAGGAAGCTTATTGAAGACGAAATAAGAATCTCTAAGGACTAACCAGTGATTGGTTAGTGTTTCGTTGGGCGGAGTTTCCTTGTGTATGGGTTGCCCAATAAGTGAAAACACTGTATTCATGGAGTTGTAGTTTTTACTAAACCTTTTTTAGTGGAAGCGAGAGGGGAGTCAGGAAAATTTCAAGGGTGGAACCCACACAATTCGCCTTCCCTTGGCGTTACCATTGCCGAACATGTTCGCCCTTTTCAGCCGTGAGGGCGTTATAAAGTGACGGTCAAATCCCACTATTCGCTGGTAAAGACTAGTCCAAAACTTGCCGGGGGGTTGGTGTTGATTAGCTGTCTTCCTTCTAGTCTATCTGTTCAAAATTAGGAACGGCTAACGCAAGTAGCCTTTTTGAAATTCTATTCGAATATACAAAAACAGTAATACGCCTTTTTTTTCCTCAAAATTTACTTGGCTGAGAAAGTAGATAAAGAGTGTTATTGGAATGACCCTAAAATAAATTCAGGTGCGTTTGTTTGTAATTAAACACAAAACTATACGAGGAGCTATATGTGCCGTTCCCACTGCGGGTATCGAAACCCAGTTTTTACCGTGTACGTCTACAGACTTAATGCTGTGCCAAACTTAACCCATTTTCTTCGTAACTATTGCAAAGAAAAGTTTTTTTTTTTTTTCTGAAACGGTTAACCATTTCGGCACGGCTTTTTTTATTGTGCTTGCGATCAACAATATCTGTACGATTGCAGAGCACAGACAGCCCAAGTAAAAACACGTGCTTAAGGACCACGTTGATAATATATGTCACGTGACTGAAGGTAAAATACGATTTCTTGCAAATGAATAGAAACATTTTTTACAGTAAGTAAAAATTAACTCTCAAACTTAGATAAGAAATTAACTCTCAAACTTAAATAAAAATTAACTTTGCGCGTGTTCATAAGTGTATAAAATATTTCGCGAATGAATTCTTGCGCGTGTTCATCAGTACATGTAAATATTTCTCGTCGTTTTTCCTTCCTCGGTAGCCTGAAGTTTAGATTATTTCCAACTAAATCGACCCCACCTTCAACAAACATTCAAAACGGACATTGCTGTATAAATTTCAAACCAATGCCAGTTGCTGGTCGCGTTACCAAATGATTGGCAAAATTTAGAACCCCGGGCTAATTGTGTGTTGCAATTTCATGTCGTCTTCCTGCTGGAAGTACGAACCAAGTATGATTTTAGATCTGAGAGAAATGTGGGTTGAACTTAGGGATTTTCTCGTGTTTTATTAGCATGTCGCGTGACATGAAAATAAATGTAACAATCGGTGCCGAATGTCTTTTTACACAAACAACGTCTTCACTAATTTACGATAAAAAAATATGAAGCTACAAATTCTTTTTTTTTGAATTTGGAAAATGCGAAAGTATCTCTTAAAGCAAATATAAATAAATATATATACATATACAGAGAGATCAGTGGGTGAACAGACAAACAGATGGATGGCTAATGATATATATATATATATATGTATCAGAAACAAGGTTTTTGTAATGGAAGAAGTTTACCTTGCCGTCGGCATTATACATTGATAACCCTCGATGTGTTTGCACAGTCTTTTAGTGTTGTTTTTTTTTTCTTCTAATGATAATGCAACTTAATGCTGGTCGTCAAGGTTACCAGTCATTTTCCTCTGAAGATCATTCATTGATAGAGGCAGATGTTTGTTTGTTTGTTGTTGTTTTTTCTCTTTTTAATCATTACCGGCAAATTACAATCAAACTTAAATAAAAATTAACTCTCAAACTTAGATAAAAATTAACTCTCAAACTTTAATTCATTCGCGAAATATTTTATACACTTATGAACACGCGTAATAATTCATTCGCGAAATATTTTATACACTTATGAACACGCGTAATAATTCATTCGCGAAATATTTTATACACTTATGAACACGCGTAAGAATTCATTCGCGAAATAATTTGTACACTTATGAACACGCGTAAGAATTCATTCGCGAAATATTTCATACACTTATGAACACGCGTAAGAATTCATTCGCGAAATATTTCATACACTTATGAACACGCGTAAGAAGAATTCATTCGTAAAATATTTACGTCTTCCTATGAAATTGTGTAAGAATTCATTACATTGGGTACCTCGATGGCTCAGCGGTAGGATTGAGGTCTTATAATATTAAAAAATCAGGATTCTAAACTTGTGGACATATCCCGGTGCTGCAGCTAAGACAAAAGAAATTCCGTGTTTTTTTCTTCTTCCTTTTTTTTTTTTACGTACATTTTGAAATCCAACAATACGTTTTAACTTTACCGTATCACGATATTAGTTTCAAGTTACAATTCCACGCGCCTTCTCATATGACTTCTGCTACTTCTCCGAACTTCAGTTACAAATTACCATCGAATTATGATTTAAAATATGTGAAAAATAAACATCATTTAGATACAAATAAACTTGCTGAGGTCAAAAAGGTTTTAGCCTAGCTTTCTGGAGCTTCTAAATCCACTGCCGTAGTAGAGATTTCTGTGATAGACCTTTGTATATTACATCAGTGGCGTTGTCCATCCGACAGGAATTGCCCTGACTATTCCCGCATACGAATACGTCAACTTCGTGAACGCCACCGAGTTTACGCCCACTGAAAGCAATATCTTACACTGTGGGATGCTGTAGAGAATACTGGTGTATTTTGGTGTTTCGGTGTGTGTTCCCTGCTTATGACCCCCACTGTTAGATGTTGTGGGGAATACTGGTGTGTGTTTTGTCTTTCTGGATATCCACCGCTGGTATTTCTAAATTTTCTCAGCTGGCTGACTTGTATACTTGTCACGGTAGTTTGGAAGAAAATGCAAAAAACAACAACAATCGTTTTGTACCTAGTCGCACTGTGCTGAGTTTTGTACCTAGTCACACTGTACTGAGTTTTGTACCTAGTCACACTGTGCTGAGTTTTGTATCTAGTTACACTGTGCTGAGTTTTGTACCTAGTCACACTGTACTGAGTTT